AATGTTATTCTCTAAATAAGTTAACATATAATTTTTTTTTTCCTTAAATCCACATTTTATGTGGCTCAATCATTATATATTTAAATCAATTCAGCTATGACTCAAGAGAGCAAATAACATATCTAAGTGGCTATTTGATTAGGTAAAAAAAAGAAATGCAAAATATTTCAAATATAAGAGATTTCAAACTTTGGGTGTTTTGTTTAATTAAAAAGTATTGTAAAATTTTAATAAATTCCTTTCTCACTCTATAGTTCATTTTTTTATGCATTATACACTCGATCAATTTTGATTGAATTCCTTTTTCATGATAAATTAATTACCCTATTACTATTTGAGATAACCTTCTTACTAGTATTTTTTTAAAACCGTAATAACAATTTAATTTGTCTACTAAAAAATTGTTTTTTTATAGCATAGTTAAAAATAATTAGTTTTCTCAAAATAATTTTATAAACACCTTTATAAAAAATTGAAAAAATTATGATCTATATGAGATCGCTTGTAGCATTTTGAAAAGACGGTTGTAAAATTATTGTGAAAAAAATAATTTTTTTAAAATCACTTTGGATATTATAAATAAATTATTTAAAAAAAAAAACTGAACAACCACTTTTTTAAAACTATTACAAACTAGCAACTATGATTGTAAATTGTAAAAAATAATTTTCAATACAAAAAATATTAGAATATAGCTAAAAGCAGTGGCAAAATATAATTATTATTACAATCAAGAAAGCAAAATACAAAAAAAAAAGCTTTCGCAACCCTTAATACAAACTAAGGCTTTGTTTGGGACTAGGGGTGTCAATTTCGGGTCACGAGTCGGGTTCGGGTCGAACCCGAAACTGACCCGGCACTATTCAGGTCAACCGAACCCGACCCATTTTTAAAAACGGGTCGGTTTTCCAGACCCGAACCCGACCCGCTTCGGGTCCGGGTCAATCCGACACGACCCGAATGACCCGTTTTCAACCAGAAAATGGCTAATTTTGAGGTAAAAAAACGGGTCAAAATCGGGTCAATCTCGGGTTGCCGCGTCAAAATTGGGTTTTCGAGTCACTTTCGGGTCAAAGGGTTAACCCGAACTCGACCCGATTTTTGAAGCGGGTCGAAATGCTGAACCCGAACCCGACCCGCTTCGGGTTGACCCTAACCCGAAATTTTCGGGTCGAGTTCGGGTCGGATTTTCGGGTCGTGTCAAATATTTACACCCCTATTTGGGACGGCTTTCTATCTGTTTCTTAAAATAATTTTTTTAGTATATAAAATAAAATTTATGTGCTAGAAAACTGTATTAAAAAGTAGTTGACAACCGTCCCTTGAGGCAACTTTCTTACTGCTTTCTAAATCAACTTTCTAGCACTTAGTTAAAAAAAATTTTAACTAGAAAACTATTCTCATACATGGCCTTAAGGTAAAAATAAATCAGCACATATAACAACTGCAACGCATAATGCCATTGGAAATACTGTTCAATCTTTTTCTCAGTCTGCAACTCTCGAAACAATTTACATCTTAAGAAAAAGATTCAAAATTAACAATTATAATCCCATACATAAAATGTTCATTAAACCGAGAAACGAGTACAGTATGCTGCTTTGTTAGCAAATAGATATATGCTTCATTTGAGATAGCTTTTTTACTATCTTTTAAAGAAGTTTTTCAGTACAAAATTAAAATTTTTGTTTAAAAAAACTACTTTAAAAAGCAGTAAAAAAGCTATCCCAAATGAACCCATAGTTTAAAAAAAAAAATCAGATCAGGCTTCTACATAAAGTTAAGTTGCAATCAACGGTGTAAGATGTCATTGGTTTTTCTTTAGAAGTTTATGAAGTAGACCGTTAGAAAGTGCTTTCATGGTATCTGCAAAAATGTAAGAAAGATATATTATGAAGTGGAAAGAAAAAATCAATAAATAAGAGAACATAGATTTAGTAGTGATTAGTTAAAAACCATCTGAACCACCAATATGCTTTCCATTCACAAAAACTTGTGGAACAGTTTGTCGGCCAACCAAATTCAGAAGAACATTTTGAATTTCACTCCCATCATCTGCATCTTAAACAGCGTAGAAATTTTAGTTGAAAATGATAGGTGAGAATAGAAGAGCAAAATTTTGTAAATGGAAATATTGTGAACTGGAGAGTATAAATAATTTCTCAGATTCTAAGGATTTTGGAGCATATAGAGGATTATATTAAGGAAATAAAGCATAAATGAATTTAGTGTGACAATTAATCAAGAAAGATTACATTTGTAAGTCAAATCTAGATTAGTGCTCATCTTAATGAACATAACATGTACAACTAAGCGGATTCTAGCACATAAGCGCATGGGTAAGCTAAGAGAAGCTCCTGTGTTCAAGTATTGGGAGGATTGTGTTTGAACTTCAACGGCCAAGAGCTCTGTGTTGGGCTAGGGAAGAAAGATGTGTGTGTTTTGCAATGATTAAGGCTTTGTTTGGGATGATTTTTTTACTGCTTCTTAAAGCAGCTTTCGAGTACAAAAATTTTAACTTTTGTAATTAAAAGTTATTTTACGAAGCAGTAAGAAATCTGTCCCAAACGAAGCCTAAGAAGAGCTCATTGTGTTCCACAATTTTAACTTCATTTCCTGTTCACTATTTGAGATCTATGCTCACCCCCTTCATTAAATGAAGAGAAAGAAGAGCTCGTCTCCTCGTTCAATAGTTGTGCTCCTAGTTTCCCTTTTACTGTCGTCAGGGTCTGTAACCTAAAGGTTTGTGTATGCATGAGATACTTGTGATGTAGGACAAATTAAGAGGTCCATCACCAAATCTATATGACCAAAAAGCATGACAATTAACATTGTATTTTGTTCTTTTATTTGTTTTCTTGTTAGAAAATAAAGGGCCCGCACCATATATTATTTAAAGGAAATATTTTAAATATTAAAACTTATTTTGGAAGAAAACAAATCATATATTTAGGTGCAAAACCAAGGTTATTGAATGAACCTGAATAAGTTGCCTCTACAAATCAAAGCCTAACTAAATTTTCTAGCTTAAACATACTCATTGATCCCCTCACACTCCAACATTAGGGAGAGTTCCACAAAAATAAAATTTAAACCTTGACCTAAATTTCAATTTGTATGCATAACATTTATTAGAATTCTCTTGTATGGTATCTTTTATTTATTTGTAGGTGTTAAAAGAGCATTATTACTTGCTAAACCAACAACGAGCTAAAAAAAAAAAAATCTTTCTTTTACTTTGCATATTTTACATTCATTGTCACTTTGCACACAATTATTTCTAAAATAAATACTACAAGATATACAAGTTTTGTGAGAATCAAAATCTAGAAGGACTTTATTGAAGGTTTAGCCCACCGAGAAGAGATCGTGATAAGCTGAATTTGTGCCCCCCTCACCTGAATTTCATTTTAGACAAAGTTAACTAAACAAACTCGAAAAATTGATGAGAGAAGTTTTGGTAAAGCAACATCTTGATCACACATCAAAAAATGATTTTAAGGATGACCTAAAATCTACCCAAAAATTTATCCCAAATAATAAAAAGCATCATATCACCAAATACACCAAAAGGAAAGAACCATTTGATGACCAGATTAGAAAAATATATATATATATATTGAAGCGCTGGCCTTTCAAAGCAGACATGACCTAAATAAATTCCTAGGTTAGCTTACAAAATTGATGGATTTTTTTATTGATATAAGATGTATGACAACCCGAGGATGAATTTAGCTAAACTCAAATTAAATGGGCATGCTAAAATCTAATGGAATAATGTTTTCACTATAGAAAAGTAATAATTAAAGAGTCCTTGGGTGGGAGGAAATGAATTAAATGCTCAAGAATAAGTATTGCACTCAACACCATGATATGAAACTTCATACCCAACCCCATAATAACCCAAGGTAGTATGTTAGTGATTGATTACCTAAACATTTTTTAAGATCACGTTTCTACAACCGACAATCCTGATAATAATCAACAACTTTATAACAAAATTTATTATTGGATTTAAGTTCGACATAAGGAATGAGGTTTCTTTAGTGAAAAAACATAGGAGGTGCTGCTTAGTCATTTTAAGATCACATTGGTCTACCCCTTCTACAAGTCCTGCCCCTAACCTACCCCTTAATAAATCCATCAAGACTAGAGGAGATTTAGTTTATCAAAACTGCCATAAAAAGTGTCATCGGATATACCATTGTAAACCCAACTAATGTAGCTAAAAGAGGATGAATGTGTTCACTCAGAGACTGAACCAATGGATCAACCCCTTTCTAATTGAAGATCTAAGTGCAAAGAAAGAAACCCAGTTAGGAGTCGGGGTGTTTAGCAATAGACAAAACTCAATCTAAGGATTGGAAAAGGAAAATTTTATTTAGTATCTTTGTTTAGCTAAAATAACTCCAACTCATTATCATCAACCTCACATCTAAGGAGTCTAGTTTAGTCCCTATTGAAGACCTAGTTCTACAAGTTCAAATAACTTAGGATTTAAAATTCCAAAAATAAAATTTGATGACACTTACGTACTATATTGACTACATATTAAGAAGATTGGCCATATAGCTATTAAGATTCACATAACTATTGTGATCACTGATCTTGTTGAATGAATTTAGTGGCATTGAACTCAAATAATCACATGATGAATTACAACCTATTATGGACATGCAACATGCCATATATCTTATATGTGATTCATAACTTCAAAATCTCACATATTATAGTATGAACCCAATTAAATATGCTGAATTAAAAAGAAAAGCGGATGATTTATTGAAAAATGAATTCCTAGAAGAAAGCTTAAGTCTAGTTATCCAATTCTTCACCTTGAACAATTGGATAATCCAGATGAGCTTAGACTAAACTTAATCAAGTATGGAGTTTTATTGCACTCATATAACTCAAGCAAACTCGCTAGACTAAGAAAATTTGGTATTGGTAATTTGGTGTTGGCCTTATGATGATCAATCATCACTCACCAATTACAATATGGGAGATTGGAGCCCATCTGAGAAGGCCCCTTCATAATAGAGATTATTTATGAAGGTGGGTTTTACCTTTCAATCCATAAAGGTGGTACTCCCCCAATGTCAACTATAAATGGGCATTATCAAAAAAGTACAATGCTCGATGACCAATTTTGCACTCTCCTATTGAGGAAGTGTTTTCAAAAATTCAATTTAATCTAAAAATTACCAAGCTTGATAGCCGGTTTTAGACTCTTCCATTGAGGAAGTGTTTTCAACAAGCTATTATCCTAGGGCCAATAATTTAGCTGAATCTTTCAATAAAACTCCAGTTAACTTGCTGAATAAACTTTTATCTACCAATAAAAGATAATGGCAAGATAAAATGTAGCCCCACTAAGTTATCATTGGTTGGCAGACCCAAAAACCATCACTAGTGTAAAAAGTTTTCATGAGCTAGGTACTTTCTATAATAAATTCATTGAAAACTTCAGTGTTCTAGTAACCCCAATAACTGATCTCCTTTGAAAGAAAAAAATCATCATAACCCTCGGTGCATTAATGTGGTTAAAATCCTAGTGGTCTCTTCCCATGTACTTTAAACTACCTAATTTTCCTAAAATATTTGAAATAATTTATGATGCTTCCGGAATATGTATGGTGTCCTTAGTCAAGAAAATCTTCCCTAACTTTTATTAGTGAGAAACACAATGAGATGAAATAAAGATATTCCACTTTTAGCATCGAGTTTTATAACATTATCAAATCCTCAACGCACTGGAGAGACTAACTATTGCACAAAAAATTCATCTTAAACACCAACCAACATGCCATAATACGAAACAAAAATTAAATCATAGGTATCCCACATGGATTGAATACCTCTAACATTTCGCCTTTATTTTTAAACGTAAGTCAGGAGTTGAAAATAAAGTTGGTTAAGTCTTATTTAAAGTAGCTTACTTCCTTATAACTTCAGATCACTAGTTTTGGTAAATTAAAGGAGGATTATACCTCCTGTCCTGATTTTCACATCTTATATAATGAATAAAATGACCAGCCATTCAATTTGGCAAACTCTTTCTTGCTTTAAGATGGCTATATTTTTAGGGGAAATATTCATGCATTCCAAGACCTTCACTTAGGGATTTCTAATTCATGAGTTACAGTCATAAGATGGTCATTTCGAAAGGGAGAAAATCATAGTTCTAATGGATAATAGATTTTACTGGTCTTTTATCAAATGTGATTTAAAAGATCTTACTAGGATGCTACACTTACAAAAAAGCTAAGACAACTAGACAAAAATCTAAAAAATAAATAGCTCTGCCGGTAACATATAAACTCTAAGAAAATATATTAATGAATTCTGTTTTAGAACTTCCTAGAACACCTAGGCACTATGATAGCATTTTTTTAGTTGTTGCCAGATTTTCAAGGATGACACACTTCTTATCATGTTCTAAAACGAATGCTATATCTCATATTAAGCTTTTATTTAGGGATGATGTGAAGTAATATGGGTTATCTTCCACCATTATGTCAAATAAAGATGTTAGATTTGTTTCATACTTTGAAAAATATTATGAAGACTCTAAAGTAATAAGTTGAAATTCTTTTATACTTTCCAATCTCAAATAGATGGACAAATAAAGGTAAAAAATAGAACCTTAGGAACCTATTGATAACCCTAGCATTAAAAAAAAAACATAGAACATTGAGAGTTGCATTTATCCGCATAATATTTTGAAAATAATAGCATCTTTTTAAAATCACAAAATAATTCCCTTTTGAAATTGTTAATGGTTTTAATACTGAAGAACCTATTAACCTCACAAGTACTCGACACTTGTGTTTTTTTTGTTCTGCCTTTACTTTTGACAAGAACTTTCAAAAATTGCATGCTAATATTAAGCGACAATGTAAGGTGGACAATGATACATATGCTAAAGCGATTAAAAAAAAAAGAGGTCACAGAGGAATTTTAATAAAAAAATGACTATATACTAGTATTCAATCACCCTGAAAGATATAAAACTACTAGTTAAAATATCCTCATGCTAAAGCATGTGTGCCATTCAAAAT